TTTACCTTGTGACAACCCTTTCGGCCAAGGGACATACTGCTCGCCATGGAGCCACTCAGATTAATGAGTTGGTTAACATCACAGAATTCTATCAAAATCACATCCTTCCAGAGTTACAGAATCAAGATGGTAAGTTACACTTTTTGTTCTGGAAGCATAGATTACCAATTAGTAACATTAACTGTAGTATTGTTTTTTAGAATAATGAAGTGCATTGAAATATTTTAACAGTTTGTTTTACACTAATATTTGCCTTTCCAGTCAACCGCCTGCCAGTGCTGAAAGCTGAGGCCATCAAATATGTCATCAGCTTTCGCAGTGCTCTTCCCTTTGATGCTGTCAAACTGTGCATCCCAGATCTTGCCCGTCTCATAACTGCCCAGTCACCTGTTGTGCACACCTATGCAGCAGCAGCCATTGACAAGATCTTCCTTCTCAGACTGAACAATCAGCCCCTGGTACAAAAGAATGATGTTTCACCTTCAGCTGCTGTGCTTTACACAAACCTCCTTGGAGCATTGACTATACAGGGTTCAGAACAGAATGAGTATGTAATGAAAGCCATGATGAGAGTGACAAGTATCATTGAAGGGGATTTGATGCAACATGCTGGTCTTGTTGTACCACAGCTTGTTGTCAAGTTGCAACAAGTTGCAAAGAATCCCACAAAACCACATTACGTCCATTATTTATTTGAGACTTTGTCTCTGGTCATCAAAACTGTCTGTAATTCTGTGGATGGTGCTGTAGGAGAGTTTGACAGGAACCTCTTCCCAGTCTTCCAAGAAATCTTGCAGAATGAGATTGATAGCCTTATCCCTTATATATTTCAGATTATCTCTCTCTTACTGGAGAGACAAAAAGCTGAAGTTCCAGAGGCTTACCTATCATTGTTGCCTTTCTTAGTAATGCCAGTGTTATGGGAGAGACCAGGCTATGTGGTGCCCATGGTGAGGCTGTTACAAGCATACATTGAAAAGGCTCATGGCCAGATAGTGCAGATGGGCAAGTTAGAAGCTGTTCTTGGTGTATTCAACAAGCTTAATGCATCCAAGACAAATGACCATGAAGGGTTTTATCTTGTCCAGTGCATGCTCTTGCATATGCCCAAGGAAGTCCTTAACAGTTATTGGAATCAGATCTTTGCCATTATGTTTAGACGCTTGACTTCAAGCAAAACCACAAAGTATGTAAAATCTCTCTTGGTATTCTTTAGCTTGTTTGCCTGCCAACATTCAGGAGCACGCCTCATACAAATTATCGATAGCCTCCAGGCAGGAATGTTCAGCATGGTTGTTGAAAGACTGATTGTGCCTGACCTACAGAAGGTCTCTGGTGAAATAGAGCGCAAGATATGTGCAGTTGGACTCAGTGGTTTGCTGGCAGATCCTGCTTTGTATAATGGTAATTATGCAGCACTTTGGGCCCCATTACTGGAGGCAGTTGTGAAATTATTTGAGTGTCCTGAAGATAGTTCTTTGCCTAATGGGGAACATTTTATTGAAATTGAAGACATTCCAGCTTTCCAAGGTTCATCAGCCAGACTGATGCATGCAGCCAGAAGTGATATTGACCCCCTAAAGGGACAAGTAGAAAACCCTCCAGTTTTCTTAGCACAGCAGCTCTCTCAGTTATCGCAAGCTAACCCTGGCACTCTCCAAGGGCGCCTTGCACAGATGAACACAGAGGTACAGGCACACATCATGAAGTATTTACAAATGGCAGGATGCAGTCTGGCATAAAGAGTTGAAAGCATTTGTATACTGTGATTTTTATTTTTTTTTTCCAATTTGGTTTGCATGGCAACAATAAGCTGTTTAGTTGCTTGGGTACATTTACAAGGTGATACATTTTTTCCTTCCCAGACTTACAAACACTGCTTTGCCTGCTATTTAAAATAGTATGTATGTTGCCTTTATGTTGAATCTGTCCCTTTATTACTTTGATGTCCTGAAAGACCAGTGATAATATTTTTAAACAATTAAAAAAAAGAAAGATTACAGTTGGTTTTTATTGTAATTATTCAGGATCTGACTATACAATTTATCATCTCTGTGATCCTTTTGTGAATTCATAACACCAGTACAATTTTTTGTATTCTTCAATTCTCTCCTTTCCTTTATTTTAGTTTCAGATCATCTCTTTTGTCAGACTTATAAGTTCCCACAATGTGGCTTCCTTTTAGGTTTTACTTTCTTATTCCTACCTTTTTTTCATAGTCATGCCTTTGGAGCATTTATTATAGTAAACTGTAATAAAATATTTTTTCTTTTATTACCTTCCATGTACTGACTTAAAAGTTGAAATATATGTGAATGGTTGTGTTCATAAAACAAAACCTTTCACAAAGAGGAACCTCATAAGAAAGAATAAATATATGTAGAATATAAACTCAAGTAAAATATTGTAAAGGGCATAGAAACAGGAGAATGGTTAATGGTTATAAAGCAAAGTAAATGTGCTAGGCATCAAAGATCATGTATCACTATGGAAAGGTGAAAAGGGTAAAAAGGGGGTTATTAATGAATACATGTGCTAAATATTAAGTCATAACAGTACAGGATAGTATGGCACTGAAAAGGGCAATGAGGGGTGAGGTACAGAAGGTGAGTAAATGGGCTAATCCTGAGAAAAGTAGTCAAAAGGTGTGTGTAGGGTAAGGTAGGGATTAACAAATGGAGAAAGGGGTTGAGGGTGCGGAGATCAGTCAGGGGGAAAAAAAAAATTGGAGGGAGAAAATACAGCGAAGGGGTTGCTATTTATCTTTTATGTATCCAGTGGGACCCCTTCCCCCCAATCCCTTGCTCATTGTCTTAGGAGATGGGGACAGGCTCAGTGTAGGGAATCACCCCTACCTTGGTCATCAGCCCTCGCCTCGACTAATTTTGCATGGTCTTTTCTGGAGTTGATGGGGGAGGTCTGGGAAACAAATGTTTTCTTATGAGAGGGAGAAGATGGGACAGACATTTGATGGACAGAGGGAAAGGTTGATGAAGAGGAAAGCAGGAGATGGGGTGGAACGTTTCACTCGTCTTGTGCAAGGCGGGAGACGGGTAGGTACTGGGAAGTAGAGATTGGAGTGTCTGGAACAGCAGTCTGGATTTAGAATGGCAAAATAATCTGCCTGGGAGAGGGAGGGGGTAGAATTGGGACGAGGAAGAGATACTGAGGGAAATGTAGAAACATAGTAGGAGAGTGGGTGAGGGGCAGAGCAAAGGAGAGTACTGGAGTAGGGAGTAAGAAAAAGCTCTATGCTTGCTGTCTGACATGTAAAATGAGGCTGTTTGAATCTGAAACTTGCAACCTCAGACCCACCACAACTGGCACATGTGAATGATTGTGCTGAGCAGTTTGTTCAATCATGACCAGGTGGGGTGCACACACAGCATCGGGCTGTGGAGCAGCAGTGTTTGGCAGGGTGGCCTTGATGCTAACCCCCCCCCTCCCCCAATCCTTGCTTGTTGCTGTGGGAGGTCTCAGGAAACATACAGGCCCAATGTAGGGATCACCTCTACCTTGGACCTC